CTTAAACTCACGCCAGGTGCGTGTGCGTGCGTGCCCAAGATCCCAAGAGGAGAATGGAGGAGAAGGGATTGTGGTGTGGCCATGCCCCCTGGGGGGATGATTTCTTGCTTTCTCTCTCTCTCTCTCTCTCTCTCTCTCTCTCTGTCTTTCTGGTGCCCTATAGCAAAAACCTCTCCAAAAAAAAAGAGAAAAAAAGAAAAATAAAAGAAGAAACTCGTACACCATTGCATGTATGTGCAAGTGGGTGTGTGCGTGTGGGGGGTATGCGTGTGCCAGGCAACCCAAGTGCCCGACACCTTCTGATTTATTTGTCCTGACTCTTTTTTTTTTTTTTTTAACGATGTGGTCTCCTTTGGGGCTGGCAGGTGGTGTAGTGGTTAAGGTACTGGACCCTCACATGGCTGACCATGGACTGTGGTTCAAGTTCTGGACCTGGCAGCTCACTTTCTCACTGTCCCTCTCTCCCTCTGTCTCTCTCAGGAAGCACACGCGCCCTATAGCAAATTACAATAATAATGATAATGATAAATAAAATTAAATATACATATTAAAAAAAGATGGGATCTCCCCATGCCGCCAGCCTCCTGACTCAGCCTCCCAGAGAGGCCTCCGGGCGTGAACCACCACAGCCAGCCTCTGTTAGACGGGGTCTCCCTGTGCGGCCCAGGCAGGCCTGGGGCTCGGACCCTCCTGCCTCGGCCTGCCAGCCACTAGGATTAGGATTAGGGGTGCACACACCCTCCCCCAGCAGTCCTGACTTCTGTCCTTGGGCAGTGCTCCCTGCTCCCTCTGCCGCGTGGCTCTGAGGGCTTCCTGGAGGAATCCTGGTGGCCACTGCCTTGCAGGGTGGATGCGGGAACCCAGCTGGGCAAACAGGGTGACGGGGGCCTGGGTCTGATGGCCGGCTGGCCTGCCCCTCTCCTGGCTCCTGTTGCTCACTCTTTTTGTGGACTGCCCCCACACCCAAAACCCAGCCCAGGGCTGGAGGTGGTGACAGTGGTAGGACCTGCCACGGGTCCCAGGTCCCGCCTGTTCGCACGGCATCGTGGTCCACCCTGTGTGGAAGAGCACAGAGGTCAACTGGAGGGGCCAGCTGCTTTCCCAGCGGGGTCACCCCAGATTCCCAGGGTGCTGAGGGAAGGGGTGGCGGGCAGTGACACACGGGGCGCTCTTCCCAGGTCCCTTCTACCAGCCAGAAACAGTGGGACCACACTGCCCTGGGTGGCACCCCCCCCTTGCCCCAAGGGACATGGGGTCTGGGAGCTGCTCACCTGGATGACACCCAGGCTCTGTCATCACCTGCTCTGTGACCTCTGAGAAACCAGTCAGTATGGGGGTGACCCTGTACCCCCAGCAGGCGTCCTGCCCTCGCACCAGGGCCTCACGTCTCCTGGTGAGGCTTCACCGCGGATCCCTTGGGAAGAGCAGCCTCGCGGCCCCAGCAGCACTAGGCCGGGCCTCCATCGGGTTCTCCTGGGACGTGGGCAGGCAGGCTGCTTGGCAGGGCCCAGGCCTGGGTGGGGAGAGGACCTCCCACGGTGGCCCCCGCCCGGCTCCCCTCCTCCCGCCCCGTATTCATTAGCCAGCCCAGCGCCTGGACCCGGCAGTGGGCAGCTTGCTGACAGAGCGGCCGGGAGGGGCCCCGCGG